AGTCAACAAATAACAGTAAAAAAAGCATGTCTACATAAAGAAAAAAGTAAGTCATACAAATATGAAGTAAAAAAAAAAACAAATACAAATAAGGCTGTGGAAAAAATAAACGAAAAAGAAGCAGAGGCACAAGTGAAAGCGCAATACAAAAGCCTTAAGGCACAACACAAAAATTCAGCTTTGCTTGTGAGTGGCACAAACAATGAACGTCAAAAGCAAGCTGAGTAAAAGCCCACAAAAAACCGCAAATGTGAAGGAAAAGTGGCAAAGGCGACGCAAGGTGAACGAGGTGCACTAAATAGGCGGCGGCAGGGAGCGGTTTTTAGACTTTCATTCATACAATTTAGCGCTGAGTGGCAGTAAAAGGAAGCATAAAATGCATTAAACAACTATGAGGCATTTCCAACGTGCAACAAAAAAAAAAAAAGGATAAAGAAAAATAGCGGTTAAACGAAATATTTATGTATAAAAGTACTGATGTATGTAGGCAAGTATGTTTTCGCCGCCATATTTCACTGCTTATCTGAAACACTACACTACAGCACGCAGTTGCATGTCGAGTTTTTGGCTGTGGTTTTCTCTTTACGGTTTTGGTTATACATATCTTCCCCTTTTTTGTATGCGCCTAACAGCTAGGTTGGAACACTTTTCGTAATTACCTAAGTTCTACTGCGATTTGGCTAGCCTTTTGCACAACCCTCTTTGATTTTCTCCTTCTTCCCCTTTTGCTTTGGCTATTCTTTGTTAGCTTATCTAAAAGTTTATTTGCTTGTGTGTCTTTCCGGAGGTTCCTCCGCTTACAAGCTGACACACACATATACATATTTATTTACATATATATACTTAAGCCACGAAGTTTGCTGGCCGAGCGCATTCATTCTTCCCTGGCATGTCCAACATCGTATATGGTATGCCCTGCAGGGAGAATGATTGTTTTCGAATAGTTCTTCTTGTCTTTCATAAAAGCAAAAAATGCCAGTAAATTAAAAAGGCCACAAAAATAGAAACAAATTTTAGTGTGGCAAATGTTAAAGCTAATTTTGATGGATTTTTTTTTTGCCGAATTAGATATAGACAAAATTAGAAATTAGATTTTCAGGACTAATTGCTGAAAATTTAAGCTTTAATTAAATTTCTGGAAGCAAATTCTATCACTTTTTGTTTAATTTCGGTAAGTACTAAAACTCCACAAAAACCTGTTGTTATTCTGTTCATTCTGTACAGGAATGGCATTTTCAGGAGTATTTTCAAAATCTGAAGCTGATGGGAACTTTATACCGTAATCAGCATAAGAAATCTATCAAAAAAAAAAGCTTTAACATTTGCCGCACCAAAATTAGTATTGCCATGTGTTAAGTTCCGGTTTTCATCTTTACTCGAAAAAAAGTTTTTCTGATATGAGTAGAAAATTTCCAAACATTTTTTATGCATTCATAAAAAGCAAAGTGATTATAAGCTAGGGATGTTGATTTTTCTAAATTTCACGAAAAGAATTCGAATATAACCTGTGTAATTTTTAAGTAAAATCTTAGTTTTCTGAGAGTGGAAAGCAAGAAACCAAAATTCCATCACATTTAATTACAAGGCCCACATTTTTTGCGAGTTGTAGACGTTATAGTGATCCAATCTTCCTCATATTTTATATTGAGCTTTTTTTTTAATAAAAGAGAGTGTATAAACTAAATTTCATCGACATCGGATGAAATTTAATGTTTCCGCCCACAATAGTGAAGGGAGTGGCAATTATCCTGTCTTTACCAAATTTCATAATTTCCTATTTCTAAGTAAAATTAGGTTAATTATTATTTTCACCTGCCTCCATATAGTCGAACACTGTGCACCGTCAAAAAAAAAATATATGTATCTAAAATCAACGCGGCAAAATAAGCATAAAACAAACAAAAGAAAACGAGTCAAAACTGGTCAAAATGCAGAGACTCTATTATGAAACTATAAATCTAAGTACCTTTGGACGTAAAAAGTTCTGCAAAGTTATCGAAAAAGTGGTCGTAAAGTAAAGTATGAAGAATTTAGAAAAAATCCTGATAGGTTCCAAAAAAAAACAAAAAAAATCATAGAAAATCTCGAAAGAATTGTATCTTTTACTAGACTAATTGTGGTTTCACACGCGATGGTTACTGGTTGAACGCCAGCTGGCACAAGGTGTATGTTTAGCTGTTAGAGCTTTCTCACAAGCTGGTGCCCGGTTGTATAGTAACATTCTGTGGCGGCAAGCCGGCTTCCAGTTTGCCGTTGACCGGATCATGTGAGACGGCCCTAACTCTGTAGCTAGGATCGCTGTAAGCGCTGAGAGTTGGTTTTATTTTAACAGAGTTTTCTGTTAAGTACTAAATTGAATTGGTCGTTTTGAATTGCCCTAATCAAAGACTAAAATAACCTACCATGCTTTAAATCTAGAAAATCTAGCCCGCAACTGCATTTTTGTGGTTGCCACAAACATTTTAATTGACAAAATGCTACCTGAGCGTTGCCCATCGAACTGAGGCTGCGACCCAGCGAATACTACATTCACGATGTTTCTGCATTAAGCCCGGTCTAAATCGGCAAATCTATCAAGAGTTGTGGTCGAGCTCAACTAACGGTAGGTCCAGGAAACGTGCTGTTTCGACGTAGTCGGACTAAAGGAAAACGGGTATTTTACAGGAACATTGAAGAGGTGGTAGAGGTCGCGGGAGTACATTAAAAAATCGGACATGTGCTGGTCATGGTCTGGGTAGAGTCTTGATAAGTTGAAGTTGAGTCTGGTACAGTATCCAGATCATAATTCTGTCAGAGTTACACGAGCGTCTCTAGGCAGCTTAAACTCTGCAATGGTTGATAGTTGAACTACGATGACGGCATTTACGGGGGGAGAAAGTTTTCAAAGGTGGTGATTATCTCTCGGTAGTTGCCGTTGATGGTCGGTCGGCGCAATGTCGGGTTCAGTCGTTTTGTGATGTAGGTCTAGATCTCGTCTGTGTACTCATAGAGATGGCTCATGATTTGCCTGTTGGTTGATTTCCTTAATACTCTCTTAAAGACCTCCGCTTCATTACCTAACACGCTAAAAGTGTTTAAAATTTGCATGCTTAAAATATTTATTTTCCGATTCGTGATTGACGCCGAATGGAGATACCAACCGGCGCCATGGAGTTAAATTTGGTGATTACATTGACTGTCGGGCCAAACAGTTCTCAAACCCCTAACCACTTGACAATGGAGGCCGCTAAAAAAAATTCTAGGTGACATGAAATATCTTTTGTATCGCTCAGAGAATTCCCTAATCCAGAATTCGGACTCTGTAGTCAGACCGACTTGGTTCATTTGATAACGTAGGCAATTATTACTGTTTGGATAACAAGTAACCTGGGGCTGGATTCTCTAACGGTGAGTTTTCGGGAACTCGCTTGAAACTCCGAACAGTGTAGTGTTCTTGCTATCTAAATTGCTTTTAAAAATCCTACTGGAATTCGCCAATTTAAATAAATTACACAAACCCATTAGCGCACACAAGGGGTGGGTTTTGGGGTTCAAACCCCCCCTAAAGCTAATAACCTCAAATACAAACTCAAGGAAATAATAAGAAATATTTATTATAATTTCTGTTGCTTGAAAAAACGCTTTGCTTTTGCTGTAAAGTTTCATGAGGAAATAAATATACGAGCATTTTTTTCTTGAGAGCTGCAAACTGATTTATGAAAATTTGGTTGAAGAAAATTTCTTTTCCATTTCTCGTCCGTCGTTTTATATGAATTTTTCGTTTTTCTTGAGAGTTCAGTTAATTTTTTCGCAACCCGAAATATTAAAAAAATTTAGCAATCGTGAAAAATCACCATCTATCGAAAACCAGAAACCAGAAATCGAAAAAATGAACATAAAAGTGCAAAAATTCGTGGAATCAATAAATTTATTTTTACTGACTCTTTTTTAAAATTTTTTATTAGGTACTTTTGAAAGTTGAGCGCATCTTGAGTTTATAGAACTTTTTGACTGAATTTCTTTATTCATTCTGAACGTTTGGAATAGACTTTTTTGTTTATTTATTCTTAAGAACGTTCCTGATGATATGTTGACGTATATCTCAAAAGCATTCTGTTTATTCCGGCTGTGAAATGGGATTATCCGGAATGTATAAAGAAACACAGCCTTTATTAAACAAGTAGTTTTTAAGGAAAGAACACAACCGACTTCAATTCTCATATACAAATTTAGGGGTGCCGTTAATTTCTTCGTGATCCAATCATCGGATCTCTAAACCAAATTATGGGTACCATCTTTCCAATAAAAAAAGGATTATTGAAATCGGTTCACGGTTTATTTATTTATTACATACTGTACATAAAACTTGCATGAATGTATTTTAAAGAGCGTATTATCTGAAGCAAATTTTCAGTATTTTCCGGTGATATATATTCAGAAATATAAAACCCCCCCTAAAATATATTCCTGGGTGCGCCCCTGCACAAACCTATTTTCAAAGTTGAATTTTGAATATTCCAGTGGCACCTCTAGTCCACGTAAAATTCGCCACTTCGTTACAAAAAAGGTATATACACTTTAGTAGTAAGAGTTTACATAGGGCATGTAAAATCATTAGTTTGGAACTACTTCCGTTTCCCTGCAGGGTATCTGGATACATATGTATACGGTCACATACATATGTATGTAAGCTATAAAGTTCGTAACGCTTCATGCGTGCTTTGAAGCATACATACATAACTACTATGGCTAGATGAGTGCAAGTGTACGCGCGCGCGCCTGTATGCCTGAACGTTTTCAATGTACTTAAATTTTCTTTCCTTATACCTACACGATTTTTCCCCCACTTACACACAAACGCGCACACCTATGTATTTTATTGCATTTTCCTTTTTAAACGTATTCCCAAAGTCACCGAGGTCTTGAACGCATTTTAAATTTAATTGCATATTATACTCATGAAAATTTGATGTTATGCATTTTTTATAAACATTGAAAAAGGCCCATGTGAAAGCATGTACCTTTGCTTTTGCTGAGATTAATGTAGTAGCTGTAACATTGTCGCCAAGGAAATTATGCAATTTCTTGTATAATTGAATTTTATTAAATGCACTTTACTGCTTGTAATTTGACAAATATTTTTTCTTCGATATTTTCTCCTCCTTCTCTCGCTTTAAGGTTATACCATACACTTTTCTTCACTTAATTACACTGGGACTTGGTATGCCTAATTTAGGATTTGTTAACCACATTGCGACTTATTCGTAACCAAATCAGCAATCAGCAAGCCCCGATGAGCCATTATTCAATTCAATGCTCCACTATTCAATACACTTATATGTATGTATGTAAATATGTTGTATTTCCACTTAATCCTTCCGCCACAGCTGCTGCACAAATAATGGATTCTTACATGTGTACACAAAATTATATTTAATTTTTTTCCAGCTCTAAGACTAAGGTTACATGGACCGTTCCGCGTCGCATTTATTTCTAGGGAGCTCAATGTTGACTGAACTGACCATTCGTTTCGTTTCGTAGACAGACTTTCTCAAAACAGTTACGCTTGTCGGCTCGTTAGGAGGTGGGTGGCAAAGCTCAAAAGCTCCACTTCCCAATGAGCTTGCAAAACTATCTCATCGCTCAATTCTATTTTATTCTCTTCTACTTTCGTGCTCGGCTGGCTTTGTTAATGGGGACCAAAACACTTGTTTGTATTTTCCCAGTGCACATTGGCGCCAATCTTTTAGTTATCTTTTTTTATTCCGCTTCGATTTGTTTATGTTTTGCTTTGTTGTTGCATTGGTGAAAACAAATATTTCGGAGGCATGCGCGTGACCGCTTCTGCCGATGCCATTAACGTTTGGCTTGGTGTCAATGTACTCGTTTGCGTGCCACTTCGTCACCGCGCAATGACGTTTTGTTGTTGAATTTTTAAAAATAACTACTTTTTGTAACTAATGTAGTTACATTTGCTTTATGGAGAACTACATACATACATACATACATATGTGTTAAGTTATAAATAAGCTATCTAAGCTATTAATTTGCGGAGCCGCATCCATACATACATTCAAACTTACTTGCATATGTATATGATAAGTGTAACATTAGGATGGGCCATTTTTTTTACTATGCACGTATAGCATAGGAGAATCCTACGTGCAATTCTAACCAAATTTGCCGAAGAAACTATGGGTCTAAAATCAATTTGAAGTTTGCCAAATTTTAAAATAGGCTTCGAAGAAAATTTTCACTGTTGCGCCCTCTGGTGGAAGTTTAGTTTAGGTAGAAATATAATTAGCAGAAATTGATTCCTCATACCATAAACCCGCTAATAGCATGTATTAGAAAAAATTTAAGCACTTCTTTGCGACACTACAGCAAAATCCTAAGAAACCTATTTTCGCAATTTGGCAAACTACAAGTTCATTTTAGAGCCATGATTTTTTCGGCAGATTTACTTAGAATCATTCTACGTGTGATTCTTCTGTACAATACGCGCATAGTCGAAAAAATCTCCCATAAAAATTGAGCCGCCCTAATGGTACATACTCTTTTTGCCCATAAGGAGATTGCTTTTTCTAAAGTAGTCATGTTAGGATATAAGGCTATTCAAAGCTTTGTTTGAAGAAATAATTAAGCATTTACACCGAATGGTCAACCAGGACCGAGAACTAAAATGGGCAATCAGTTGTATGGGAGTTATAAGTTATAGTGTTCGAGTTTTGACGGTTCCGACAAATGGTAAATCAATCATAAAAGTTTTAGTCGGATATGTCGAAAACTGAAGGGCTAAATTGCGTTCAAACAGACAGACAGATGTACATACTTGGCAAATCGACTCAGTTCGACGTTCTGATCATTTTGGCAAACATTTTTGTGAGTCCATATCTTCTTCTTCTGATACTTAAAAACATCGGACCAAATTTGTAATACCATTTCCTGTTCATGTAATACCATTTCATGCTCATTTTTTTATCGGTATTTTTATCGATTTGTTATCGATTTTGTAATCGATATTGTTAACTATTTTGTTAATTTTGTTATCGATATTTGTCTATTTTTTATCGATATCTATCGATTTTGTTATCGATATTTGTCAATTGCTAACGATATTTATCAATCGTTACCGATATTTTTCAGTTTCGTTATCGATACTTGTCGATTTTGTTATCGGTATTTATAGATTTTGTTATGGATATTTTTTATTGATTTCCTTATCGATATTTTTATCGGTTTTGTTATGGATATTTTTATCGATATTTTAATTGATTTTGTTATGAATATTTTTATCGACTTTCTAATAGACTTTGTTACCAATAGTATTATCGATTTTTCTATCGAAATTTGTATCGAATTTTTCATAGACTTTGTTATCGATATTTTTATCGGATTTGTTATCAATATTTTATTGGATGTTACTATCGATTTTGTTATCGATAGATTATAAAGATAAAAATGAAGATAAAGGAAAACAGAATAACATAAATGTAATTAGAACGAACAGGGGTAGAGGTAGAAAAAAGAGAAAAAATATAACCTTAAGTAAAAGCAGATCGTCGTTTAAAGTGCAAAACCGCGTATCAACAAAATGCCAAACCGCGTATCAGCAAAATGCAAAACACTCATATTTCAAAATGGTTCTCTTTTTTATAAAGCAATCGCATTTCTGGCTAGTATATTTCAGGACGAATGGATAAGGATTGAGCCAAGAGCTTGTGTGAGCAAATCCAATTTTTGGCAGCCAATGTCAGTTACACGGTTTTGCAGAATGACGATACGCGGTTTTGTACTTTAAACGACGATATGTATGTATGTATACTGGTTATGAGAATAGATATGTATGTGTGTACAATGTAACGTAAGTTCCACTTCTCCAGTGTGGCCCAGGCGCACTTACTTTTTTATTTCTTTAACAAAACCCGCGTAAATCCAAGTTACCAACATTGTGCAATATTAAAAAATATTCAACATACTTTCGTACAAATTTCTAGCTTTTTTAAAAATTCAAAACAAAAAACCCAGCGTAATTTTTAGCCATTTGAAACTTGTACTTCATTCTACTAGAATTCAATGGGCTACAAAACTGCATACTCAGAATCAGTGTTGCCACTATTGGTATTTTCCGACCAAATTTGGTCGTTTCTTTTTCATTTGGTAGGTTGGTAGGCAACGCAAAATTTTGATCCGATTGTTGAAATAAGTTTTTAAATTCTTAATCATAAAAATATATATTTCAAACATTATTTTGCATAAAATATTTGCCAATTGTACCTTTCAAACATTTGCCAATCCTGTCCTTAGAAATAAAAAACCTAATTGGTTGGCCACTGATGCAGCCAATGTTATGGCTGGCGACTCGGGCGAGCTGAAAATAATAATAATAATGTAATAAATTGCCAAAAAGCATTGAGACACTGTGCCGCAACATATAGTTTCTTTTCCCACAGTCCAAAGGGGATACATGAACTGAAGGAGTTTCAGGACTACTGTTCGGTAAAACCCCACAAAATCTTGGGAGAAATGGGGCACCGAAATTGCGCATATGGAATCTGTGCATTTAGACATTATTTCGGTTTCAACCGAAACTGTGCATGTATGCTTTATTTCGGTTTTTACCATATGCATTATTTCGGTTTTAAACCGAAACTGTGCATGTATGCATTA